GCTTCCCTTGGGCTTCTCGTGTTCCCCGTCTTTTCCCTTTTCCCACCGGCTGCACCGGCACGCCCGCTTCGCCAGCGCCGTCTCTCCCCCCGCGCCCAGGCCCGCGACCAGCGACTCCCCGCTTCGCCTGCAGCTGGCCTGGGCGCAGGTCTTTGGCCCAGGTCTCAAGGGCCACCTGGATGCCCTCCACGTTGTGCCTGAAGAAGAAAGCGCCCAAGCGCCCGGCCGGGCAATCGCCGGTTCTGGCGACCCCAAACAACCCAAGACCCGGTTTTTTGGGCTTGTTCTTGTACCGCAAAAGCCTGAAAGGGGGAGTTGGGAGCACGCGGGGCAAAGCGCCCCACGTCTGTGATACTTCTGGGAATCTCCCCCGTTGTGGGGGGTTAGTGTTTGGGGTTAGTCCCTTGTTGTATCACGGAAGTGGATTCCATTTCCCACAGCCCTGTGCCTGAAAAAAAAAGAGGTCGCGCCCGCCGGGGGGCAGCTCTGGCGACCCCCAAAGCCCCCCCCTTCTTGCTGGCGACCCCAAAAAACCGAAGACCCGTTTTTGTCACCGGGGAGGGAGCGGGGGGGGCCGTTTCAGAGCCGAAAAAAAAGCACAAGATCTCCAGCAAGCACCGAAATGGCCGGGAACCGTCTGCGGTCATTTCAGCTCTTCTGCTGGGGTCATTGCACAGCGTAGAATTGGGTTGGGACGCATGTCATGATTTCACCAAAAGCATCCCCGCTGGAAGCTGCTCATCCAGTCCAGAAAGAAGCTGCTCATCTGGAACCCCAGTCTAGGTCTGCCTCCGCAGAGGAGTCTGCCTTTCGCTTCCCCAAAGTGACGCATCCTCAGTGCATGATTAGAGTTAGGCCCAGTTATAGAATATCATATATTTTATTGCTCGCTTCACTGTGGGTCACTGGGAACATGCAAAATGTATCCTGAGCCTACCCCTGGAAAACAATATTTCCAGTAGTGATAATTTCTTTTTAAAACCAACAAAGGAAAAAACATACTCTTGAGCAAACGGAAGATCCGCATTGCAGCAGGTTGCAGTGCGGTTTGGATGCTGTACAGCACTGTGGGCTTCTCCTCGGGCTCCAACATCAACTCCCCTGCCTGGCAAACGTGTGGCAACTGGAGAACAACCCATTCCTCTCAAAAAAAGGGGGGAGTTTCTCCCTCCTTCTCGTGACAGAATCTCCACTCAAAGGGGGGGGGACTCCCTGGGGTTTACTGACTTGGGGTCAAGAGTACGCGCTTTTGAGCCAGGGTATGGGTCAAAATTGAACCAGGAATTGGACCGCAGGTTGAATCGTCCAGGTTTCCATTTGCCAGGGATCCATGTTGGGTACCTATTTTTGACCCACAGCCACATCTTGGGCTAGTAGGTGTCCTCTTCTTAGGAACGCAAGCCCCAGATTCAGTGGTGGGTTGCCTTTTGATTTCCCTTTAAAAAAAAAGGCGCCCCCATCAATTTTTACCCCCTCTCTACAACATGTGTTGGGCTCCTTGGCAGGAAGCGATAGCCCGTACACCCGATATATTCACTCACTTGAGTTCGAGGAAATTGGAAAGAAAAGGTTAGCTCTTTGGGACCTGCACTACGTATGGACCAAACTAGGCAAACCAAAAGGCAATGGTCGGCCTTGAACAGCGGGTGCTTCCAACCCTGCGATGCGCCCAAATTGGGCTGGGGGGAGGGGAGGGGGAGGGAGCGCAAGGCCCTTGTTGCAGGAAAAGAAAGCAAGCTAACCAGAAACCGGGACCCTTAACTTCCATTTGGTTAAGACAGTGGAAAAAATGAAATATTTCCAGTAGTGATATATTCCTTTTAAAACCAACAAGGGAAAATCATATTTTTTGAAGAAAAAAAAGCAAATGGAAGTTAACCCAAGACCGCCCAAGCACGCTCAAACCCTGCTTTGAGCATCAATTGCAATCCTGAGCCCAACGGGTGCCGAATGGGCAAACTTCAAGGGGCCTCATGACATGCATTTGGGGTGCCTCTTTGGGGGCCCAGGGGTCGTGATTCTTCAACAGGCCTTATTTGGGCTCCCATCCCCTCCCTCCCTCCTAGCCCCCATCAACTCCTGAGCTTGCATTTTTGAATCTTGAGCGGATGCATTGGAAAACAATCATTTGCTCCTTCTCACGTCCTTCCCGACCCCATTCTCATTCTGGTTTCCAAGCCAAGGAACCGAAGCCTCATCGATCTCTGCAGTAACCTGGACAAAGACGGTCATTGCATGGCATTCAGAAACGTGGACCCATATTTGCCAAGCATTCTGGGTGGTTCGTCTTGATTGGTGCCCCTGTTTTGTTGGTTTGAAAGGAAAACCACAGTTTTAGCGGTTCCCCTAGAAACAAAACACCTACTTAAATATGGCCAAGCAATTCAAGCATTGGCATGCGCTGCTGTCAGACCACACGTTCCTCCAACCCCTCCACCCACCCACCACCCTGGGTGTGATCCAACTGCAGCCTGCCATTTCAAAAGCATGATCGTTGCATTTCGGCAGTGCAGAGAATGGCGCCTGCAATGTTTTACAAATTGCAAGGCTGCAAGGTGGCCGAGGCCCCAAGAATAATGTTCGTGCGTTTGGCCAAACGCCATTGAGGCTGTGTCTCTGTCTGTGTGAAAAACCAATATCAACACAAAGCACTGGATGTTTCCAGCGAAACCACGTTAATTCCAATGCAAGCCAGCACTCTGAACAGAACCAAAGCTGCTCCCGTGGGCTTGATTTTTGCTTGTGCTCGCCTTGCAGCCTTGCAGCCTTGCAGCCAAGGGTCAGGCAAACCACAATTGGCGTACTTTACCCCCGTAGGTCTCACTGGCTGAGTGGATGGCCCAAAAAAAGTAACCAAACTTTATAGTTCATGAATGGTACAGTAAATTTGGTTTGGACTTACCATTATAGTTCCAGCTTTCTGGCCCAACATGCATATAAACTTTATATTTTCCACTAAAAATGGTCCAACCCCAAAAAGCTTAAAGTTGAACTCAGGAAGTGAGCCTTCATTGTTTCACAAGCCCTGCAGCCGAAATGCCGGGCGTACTCAGAGGGGGTCAACGAATTGCAACACAGGCAACGCAGTGACGCTGCGGCAGGCTTGCTCTTGCTCAGGCCAGTTATCGATTTGCCTCCTTGGATGTTGAACCGGTCCCTGGAAAAATCTTATATTTGTCCACCTCTTTTCAGCCAGGGACATAGTCGAATCTCATAGATTTGCAGAAATTCCACTTGGGGGCACCTTGCAACACGGCGGCCTTTCTTAATTATACCGTAGCCCCGCTCCACAAATGTTCAACCGGGCACCTGAACGGATTTTTCCGTGCGACAAATTTTGCGCGACGGCTTTAGAAGAAGCAACCGTGAGCCTATCCAAACCCTTCGACAACCTCTGCTCCCACACCCCTCCTTTGCACCCAAAGTTTTGGCAGGCTTGGCAGGCGCCAAATGGCCATGGGTCAAAAGCCCGTACCCCCAGTGAACGTGCCAATCCCCACTAAAATGGGTGGTGCACCTACCCCACCAAAGTGGAGCCACAGCCATATGAATCCAGCCCATCCCATTTCCATCTCGACGCCTCTTTCCGAACCAGCCGCGGCTGGGCGGCCCATGCTGGAAGCAGCAACCAGGCCAGCCTCAGGCGAAGGGAGCCTTGTGGCTAACCCAGGATCGTCTTGCTCCATTGGATGGCAAAGCGAAATCCAGACATCGCACCACGAGATGAAACCATGGTCGAAACAATAAGCTTGTTGTTGGCATTTGCAGAATCGAATCATTCCAGGGCTTCTTAGGTGGTGCGGCATGATTGTTGTCCACCCGCAGGGTGAGCTGGAACTGTGGCAAGCTAACATCAGCTCAGGCATCGGACGCGTACTTCGGTGGGCCACCCACAGCTTTCAGCCGGAAAAGAGTGCACCCCAGTGGCCCAGAGCACGGAGAAATTCAAAGCCGGCTTGAAAGCAATACAAGAAGCCAACATGTGGTGTCTTTTTTTTGGCGGCAACCCCGACTCTTCGCTAGTTTTACTCCAAAGCCCGCCATTTATGTGGCACCCTACTTTTGATACCCTAGTGTTGAGACTTTAAGCTGTTGCAGCGCTGATTCTCCAAGTCGGCCTTCCCGCCTGGAGAACATGGAGACGCTCAGCTGAGCGAAGGTCTGCACTTAGAGACACAGCGCCTCAGCTGCCAAGGGACAGCACAGTTCGGCAGTTTCATGAAGAGTCCTGTGAAGAGTTGTGACTACCTAGTTGCCCTTTGTCACTTTGGCACTTTCCACGGCAGCAAGCAAGCAAGCCAAGCCATGGGTTCGTGTGCCCGTGTGCGGGCGGGTGCGTAGGAGGGTGGGTGCGTGGGTGGGTGTGGGGGTGGGTGTGGGTGGGTGTGACTGCAACTGAAATGGAGCTCGGTGGTAACAACGGTGCCTTGCATGCCAACCCAACAGCAACCAATGCTACGTGAACATGCCAATGCTAAAGGTGGATGGCAGCAAAGACTGCCACGCGGATTGAACGACAAAAGGGGTTGAACGCACCAGAGTCCTTCAGCATCGGCGTCACCGTTTGGGTGTCACAGTTTTGGGCGTCGAGGAAAAAACACCGAGTTGTTCGGTACTGTGGAAAACAGGCTTCCAGGCTCAGACATGGGCTAGGTCCCAATATGGAGCCCCGAAAAGGAACCTCTAACCGCAGCCCTCCATAACGACTCTGCTCCATTCGCCCGGCACTCTGAGCTCTGAGTCAGCCCAAGAGGCGGCAACAGGTTCCACGCTGCTTTGCTTGAGCCCAGCCGCGAAGTCACAACGGTAGGCGTCCGTCACGGTGATACTCCCTTCGCTTCGGGGCGTTTTGGCCATGTCAAGTGGTGACACAAGAGGGGTGGGCGAGAGCCAGGGGATCACAGGCTGTATGTGTCCATTTTACCAGGGCAACCCATTTGGGGTACCCATTCGGCCATGGGTCAAAAGCCAAATCGTACCCCTGTGAACATCCCAATCCCCATCTAGAACAGACTAAAATGGCTGGTGCACCTACCCCAAAATGGTACCATTGGTTTTGACCCACAGCCATTTTTGACCCACAGCCATGGCAGCTCTGATAGTTCCTTCCGTGGATTGTGCCTAATCCTTTCGCCGAACACTCGACCAGGCCAAAACTCGAGAGCACGCTGGGGGTGCCGCTGCTGAAGAATCTTTTCTGCCTGGGCTTGGGCCTGGCCGGGGCCATCCAAAGATCTTTCCTATCAGTATCTATCATTTTTTGTCCAGGCGGGGGCTCTGCCGTTGCGCCCAAAAGGTTTCACTTCGTGAGGCAACGCGTACAGGCCTCTGCCATACCAACCAGCACTACCCAGCCAGAACGGTTGCATCATGGCTGCAGCGTACGATGATGCCTGCACAGGGCCTACGCTCAGCCTGCACGGAAACCGGATGCCATTTCAGGCAAACGAGTTGGCGAGGACTCTCTTGCGTTTGATTCGTTGGCCGCGTGCTTGCGTGCACGAGTGTCTGCATGCGCACGTTCCCTGCCAGGTACTTTCGTTCTCGCCTGGTGTGTATGTTGCGGGTACTTAGCTCGCCTGGCAACAAGTCACACCTACGCCTTGCCTTCTGAGCCTGGTCCGAAATTGGCCATGCGGGCTTCCGCGTGTAATTTGCCAACGCAGGCTCCATGATGAATCTGACGTCGTGTCCCTTGGCTTACAAACACTAGTCTTCTGATTTGTGTTGCACTTCCTGGACCTTCAGAGGGCCCCTTTTTCGTCCGCCTTTGCCCCATAGAACTTTTTTGGTGGGGGTCCAGGTGATTTCCTGAGTCCATGACACATTTCAGACTCCACTTCCATGTGCGCGAAGCCCGCAGGTTGGCTGGCCTCATCACGCGCTGCCTCGCCGTTCCAGACCTCAGCGCCCAAAAGCCCTCGACTTGTGATGCTCGGATGGTTTTATTGGTTTATCTAGGCCTTACCCTTATCAGGCCGCTCTTCGGTTAAATGGGAAATCCCCACGAAACACTAAAAGGCTAAAAGGCTAAGGAACACGGTGGCTGGGAACCACCAAGTAAAGGTTTATCTAGGCCTTACCCTCACAAAGGCCGCGTTTTGAGCTTCCCGCCATCTTCGAGCACCCCAGCTTCACGACTCTAAGACTGCTGCTACTGATGGCAAACACCTGCCTGCTTCGAGGAAACACCTCAACCCCTGTCACCCATTGAAAAAGAAATGACTACACCTACACATTCAGGGCCATGCCGGCTTTTTGGTCTCGGCTTGAAAGGCGTGGTGCGCATGCCTCCCGTGTGTTCAACAGTCGGTACGAACATGGGAAGTTTCCACTGGAGTGCCAAACAAATAATCATTCATCAGGCACGGCCATTTCGCTTGCAAAGCGCAAGTGGGAATAGGACAAACAAACTCGGGTGCTGCGCTTCCCGCCCCTTGTTGTGGCATGTTTCATTGGTTTCACCGACTTCTGGGCTCAAAAGCCTTAGCCCCACCATCGGCGGGTTCTCAGGTCGGCCAGCTGCCAGCGAGTTTTGCAGGATCTTGGTTCGGCTGACGCGCCTCTTTTGAGCCTCTCATCCCTCAAGTTCAAAATGTCGAAGGCTAAAACCTAGAGAAGCGCCCAATTTCGCACATGTGGCCTGGGCTGGCGTCAACTTGGACCTGTTGCTACAAGCCGCCTGCCCAGCACCAAGGCCCAACGCTGTGGCCAAGAGCGCCCTTGCTGACCTGAGCCATTGAGGAACCCTAGGCCCGATAGAGTCAACGTGGTTGGGGGGAGTTCATGTGATTCGGCATGGCTTTTCATGTGGAAGCTTGCGCTGGGCAGGACGTAACCCCTGTTACAGCAGGCAACTCTCCTGCTAGTCATAGCTTTGCAAGCATTGGTGTGAATTGGGGGAGCGAAATGGTTGTCCTTGCTCTTGTGTATTTGAACCTGAACTCTGAAAAGGGGAACCCCCGCCAAACTCTGTAAATCATCTCCCGTGCGCCAAGGACCAGGAAAGAACTCACAATTCGCAGCCTCTCGTTGGGGCAAATGCAAAATGGGCACGTGGGAAGCAAGAAATTCCGGGCTATACACACATAGGAGGGAAATCAGTGAACAAACAGACAGACAGACAGACAGACAGACAGGCAGACAAACAGACAGACAGACAGACAGACAGACAAACAGACAGTCTGACACGCAAACCAAGCACAGTAATATTCTTAAGTGTTCCCTTTCCGAATTTCCGGGCAAATCACCATTTATGCATCAGAGAGGGCTCTGGCAAATGAACAAAATCACCACCTGTTGTTCATCACATTGACTTTGTCCCAATCCTTGTGTTCTGGTCTGTGTGCGTGTGAATTGCGCCGGCGGCAGCTGGACCCCGCTTAGATCCTTAATGTTCTTATGAGGATCAGGTTTTCATGAAGATGATCTCGCCTGGCGGTCGACAGGTGGTTTGGTGGTTGTAGCCTCTACAAAAGCAAGGGCGTCAAATCCCCAAGCCAGCAATCCTAACCAACTAGGGGTTGCCTGGACATATCCCTAGCTTGCTCAAAGGGAAAGAAACAACATGTGGACTCTGCTCCTAGTCCTTCAATGTCCCTCATGTTTTCCATGAATGCCGAGCAAACCTGGACCGGTACAGTCCCAAACGTTGCGGGTGAGCACAAAGTGGGCCGGGCATGTGTCAAACTAGTGGGGTCCCAACAGATGTTGGTTTTCCTCTTGGTGTCCATTGAAAACCAACCAAACTTGCCTATTTCTTGGACCCATCAACCCAACAGATTAAAATGGAGATCGAACAAATAATCAGGAAAAACAGCTTTGTGGTTGGAAAAGCAGGGTCCCCAACAAAACCCCCTAAAAGCGCGCTCCCAAAAAGAGTGAAGTCACCCCACCACTTCTGGGGGTCGAGGAGTCGAGGAGTCGAGGAGTCGAGGAGTCGAGGCCCCCTGGCGTGCCGCGCCGCAGTGCGGCGCAGGCGCTGGATGACACCTCACTGAGGGGGTTCCTCACTTCCCGGATGGGACCTGGAAAAATGGTGATCACCTTCTCACTTCCTGAGGGGCTTGGCCAAAAAAGGTCCCTGAACTTTCGACTTGCCAAATTGGTCCAACCCCGAAAAGTCTAAAGTTGAACTTGGGAAGTGAGCCTTTTGGGGCCACGAAAAAATGAGATCAACAAGGGGAAGCCAAAAGGTCACTTCAGGTTGATTCGCTTTGCTTGCAAGGGAGTTCTTGGAAAGAAGATGGCCCTGGTCTACCTGCTTCAGCCTTTCTTTCAACCACCAAAAGGGGGACCTGGCGCGAGTTGCGTCCGTGCGTCCGTTGGGCCCTGCATATTGGAGAGAGGTTCAGCCAGCTGGAGCCCACGACTTCCAACATCGGGAAAACTGGCGAAGCATGACCTCCTTTCGCTTAAGTCCGAAGGAAAAAATTAGAAAATCTGTCCAGTAGTGATAGATTCAAACAAATGCCCTTGAGCAATTGGAAGATGAACACAGAAGGATTCCCATCCTTTGCAGCCGATGGGTCCAGGTCTTGATTCACAGTCTGGCAGCTGTAGAGTGGCCACAGCCAGCCGCCCAGACCAGCCGATCCTAAACTAAATGTCGTAGTGTACGCCACAAACCCGGAAGTGTCCAGTACTTCCAGCGAGGCTGCGGATTGACAATGACAACTGCGAGTTCTTTTGGGAAGTGATGATGGCTGCCTTTGAGTCGCTGCTCATGTGTGTGGGCATGCGTTGTATGCATGCATGTATGCAAGTGCAAATGCATACATGTAAAAATATACATTATTCAAATGTATATTGTTTGAATAGATGGATGTATACATACGTAATCCATATGTTTTGATGCTGCACTGAACACACAAATGTTGCTCCTTTATCTTCTTCAGGTAGGTTGGAGCAAACATATTATGATACTCCTGTAAACCTACTACTCCAAATGTCGTATTTCGTGAGCCGGCATTCAGTCCCCTGCACCCAGCATGCATACAAGCCACAGGCTTCTCCCCACATCCAACAATAACAGGAGGCCAGGACACAAGCAGGCCGCCTGCTTTGAGAGAAACAAACCACCTGGACCCCCCAAAAGCCATTTTTTCTGCCTTTGATCCATAAAAAAGGGTACAAAATCCAAAAAAAAAGCCACTTCGGGGTCCAGGCAGCCAGAAAGCAAACATCCAACCACCTGGCCCAACGTCCTCTCGCACTGGCTGAGTGCACCACCCTCACCTGGCGCAGCTGGACACATCCGACAATGACGGGCAAAAACAAACAAACCAACACACAAACACCAACACGAACAAATACACCGACATCAAGACATCAAAACAGAAAAGCAAGCAGCGGACCATCAAATCGTACCAAACCAAATCAACGCAATCAAGCAAACCAAATCGAAGCAATCCAGCCAAACCACACCGATCCGTTCAATCCAATCCAGTCCAGTCCAATACAATCCAAGCAAGCAAGTCAATCAACCAATCAACCAATCAATCAAATCAGGTTATCCTCGTTCTCGAGTCGAGAACGAACTACATCATAGGGGTAGAGGAGTCGACATTGGTTTTCTTTGGGCACAATTTGCGCAAGAAAAGCCTCGGAAATGTTTTTGGCTTGGGACACCCGAGTTCTCCCCAAACTGAGCCATCCAACTTCCGGAGAGAGACCGAGTTCCTTAGACTTAGACCCTTAGGCTTGGCAATTTTTGCCTCAGCTTCTGGTGCATTTGGCATCCGGGTCACCGAAAGAATCCATGGCATTTCCGGCCTTCGCCGGACCGCTGGTCCGAGACCTGGGAGAGATTGGTGCGGCATGTTGCGACCTGTCCACCTGCCTCACACCGTTTGGGTTCCATGAGAGTTTTCCTCTCCCATGGAAGTGGGAGAAGGGCCCCCCTTCCAAGAGTTGAACGTAGGCTTACTTCCATGACATTCGAGAGGGTACACTTTCGCAGGGCCTTCAAGCAAAAAGGACAGGTCTTCCAACAGCCTTGTCACTTGCCTCCCTCGATCGCATCGCATGCCGCTCCATCTTCAGACGGCTGATTTGGACACAGTCACACAAGTATGCAGCATGTGATACATGCTTGCACGAACACGAACATGTAGTATAACATCAGCTCTCCCGCAAATCAAACATCCCTCCCTCAAACCAACCAGCATTAGGCTACAATAGACCTCTGATGACTTTCGACTGCCGAGCACGTTCCATATTCACAACACCATGTTCTCACTCGCCCTTGCCGGATTTGCTTCTTATTTCTCTTAAACAAATCCCGTTTGGCTTGCAGCCTGGCACTCGCTTTTCACTGGGACTCCTGACACAAATCGCTGAACCCTGGGCACCGCTACATGGCACTGCCCAGGGATGCCAGAAACCCCAAAGCCCCCGGGCTCGGCGTCTTCAGGTCTGGAACCGCTACACGGTTGCCACCATACAAAAACTTGAGGCACACTCATGTATACATATATATATATATACCAGCAGCCTTCAAGTACCTGAAGGGCCCTTGTGTGAGGCATTTTGGGTACCAATTGACAACCCTCGCCCTGGTGTGAGGGTGCTGGCATATCTATATATATACATATTTATTTGTTTGGCTACAGAATGTTTTTATAGTTCCATGGCTTGTGTGCGTGCCCACCCGGCGCAGGCCCCCGAGCGCTGAAGTCCAGCGACACCACCAGCTCGGCCAAGGCGATTTTGGTGCGCGCCTACCGGGCGAGCGGATGACAGGCGTGGGGGTGACACCATGAGGATGGCTTGGATAGGGGACGCATCAACTAGGTCCTCCAGTAGAGAAGTTAGAATCAGGGCACCCTTTTTTCTGTAGTCTATTTTAGTAGGGGAACCCTCCCCCAAAAAAGGGTAAAGGGCACTACTGGGGAACTTAGTCAAATAAAACCTCTTTGCTTTAAACATGTTCATTATTGGTTTGAGACCATTCCACCTAGCCCTCAGAGCCTCACGTTCAGGAGCGAACCGGACTCCTGTTTGTTTCCGTTTCAGGGGAACCAGTTGCTGAACCAAATGTTGCCCAGCCCGGCGTGGGGGCCTTAACAGGGAGTACGCGGCTAGGAAAGCTGAAGATATCCCACCACCCTTGTGCTTCCTAATAAATCAGTATTCCCTGTCTTCCAGGATCGGTCTTTCTGAACATGTCTCATAAGATTTCTTGCCATTGAATGGGATCATGAGCCAAAGAGCCGCACATTCCGTACATTCCGTCCACGCACCTGGCAGAAGTAAACAACAAAATGGGTCTTTATATCTGGGCTTCTTGACGTATAGATTTGGCCTCGAGCTGCCAAAGTTGCCGGCGGCCTTTTCATGCGAAAGGAGTCGGTCGACCCCCAGTTGCTCTCAGGAACTGCCCGCCTGGCGCAGCAAGCGCGCCCCATGGGAAAAAACACCGGTTTTTTTCAGTGTTTTCCCACCAAAAAAGGCACGCCGACTCCAAAAAAGGCGAGTTTGCCCAGTAGGCCGCCTGAGAAACGTTTTTCCACAATCTGACAACACCACTGGTAAAAGTTGCATTTTCTGCCCGCCTGAACCCCAACACGCACCATTTACAACCCTTTTCATTGGCCAAAGGCAGAAACAGCATGAAACAGCGAGCCCTTTGGCGGCCCATCCCAAATGTACCCTCGGTGAAAGTGAGACAATGCCCAGGGCAAAGAGTGCCCAGTTCTCCTCTTTCCCTCCCTTGAGTGGGTCAGCTGCCCTCAGATCCCCAGCTAAAAGTGCAGAACTTTTAATTAGGCTAAATGGAAACTACCACTAGGCACTAAAAGGCTAAAACGCTAAGGGGATGGCTGGGAGCCACCAACAAGAAACATCTAGAGCAGGAAGTCCACTCATGACACGGAATCTACAGTTTCTCTTTCGGCATCGATCTCCGGGAAGCGCTCATAGATCCCAACGGTTGCACTATTGAGGGCACCCACCGTATTGCAATCCTCAAGCACGTTCTGTCCATCCCAAGAGATGAGCCACCAGTTCGACAGCCTTAAGCCCATAGCTTTTGAGGCTACCCAATTTTGGCGGCTTTATACCACACGTATCTTCATTTGAGCGCGCAAAGGAAAAGTGTTCGTCTCAAGAAAAACGCGAAGTTCCGAGAACTGCGCGAGGCGTTTTTGGCTGGATTGGGTGCAAAGCTTTTGGGTGTATTTAGCCTTGACATCAACCCGTCAAGCTGCTCAAAAGCAACTAGGACAAGGATACATGCACTCCTTGTCGGCCAGAACTCGCCCCTGAATGATCCGCACACATGCATGCAAGCATCCAGCATCACCACTTCTGGGTTTTCTTCGGGGAGAAGTGTCATCTTCCGGCAGTTCCATTTTTTGGCTTGGCCAAAGCCGACACCCCCAGCGGCTGGCGGATTGTGCTGCGCTTGTGGATGGCAGGTTGCGGGCACGGATTTTGGATTCTCCATGAGGTCTTGTCCCTAGCCGTTCCCAGTCCCCTGAGGTCTGTACGGTGCGGTACCACTCAAAGTCAGAGTTTTGCTAGCGGATTGACGTGAGGACAGCCCGGGGAATGCAGAATAGACGTAGTTTGGCACGGAAATCCAAATTTAACAAAACAAAGCTGTGGCATTGCAGGTTCCGCCGGTGTCTGCGACACGCCTTGTAACCAGAGCACCGGTGACAACTTTTGCGTGACAGACAGCTGCGAACCACCACGGCTGTACATGGACCTTGTACCTGGAGGAGTTTCATCCGAAAAGTGCCGCCAATCTCCACCCAAGCGCCGCGCAAACACACCACAAGACATGCATTAACAAGCATTCCAGCAAAGAAAGTGCCCAAACGAAGATACAGGCAAACGAAAAGTCGACCATACGATTGTTATCATCATTGATATTATTGTGTATTTATTTTGTTGGGGGTCTCCCCCTTAAAAAAAAGGCACAGACGCAAGTAGTGCAGCCCTCAGCCGCGGTTTGCAGCATTTTTCGGCCCCACGGCCAGCCGCCTCCTTGGACAGCTTCGGATAGATCTTCCAAGGCTTGGTGAGGGCCAAAGGGCTGGCCTGGTCCTCCACGCAGAGCGCTACCCCCGCCTCCGCGTGGAAACGCAGGCCCGGCAACGAGTTAAGCGACCACCAGGGATTGGAGCGTCACAAAGCAGGGGAAAGACAAAGGTTTGCCTTTGAACAGCCAAGACGAAAGCATTCTAAAGATCATGAAGCAACCAGATCCCCCCAGACATGCGATATCAAAGGTGTCGAACGACGAATTCCGGCAAAGCTCCCTGGTTGCATACATCCACGACAAGCTCTCTTCAGGTCACACTCACTTTTAAACACACCGGCCACAGTTTTTGATACGTAGAGAGCCATATTTTGATGTCAATCAAACTCCTTTGAGCTATCTTTGGATGATATCTTGCATCCTCAGCTATACTGCCCATCCCTCTGCAAAGCTGGCATTTAAACACACTGAGTACATTTCATCTGTGCATAATGCGCGGCTCCAAAGACGCGAAAGGGACCTCCCTCGAGTGGCCGGAGGAAAAAAAACACCCTTGGACATCCCTTGGACTACCCTCATAAGAACCCGATGGCCAACAGTTTGCATCAATCCGAACGCCCCTTGACCTCCCTTGGCATGCAAATTTGAGGAAATCACTGTGTGGTACCTTTGCAAAGCCTCTGTCAGGCTGAAGCCATCATCTATGCCTTGTGGCCCGAGCACTGCTTACGTTTGCTCCAACCGATGCCAATGCGAGTAAATACTGCACCTCCGCAAAACTCTAAACTGCGGCTTCCCTGTCGCTCGACACCGGCAAGTGACACCGGCAAGTATCTGGAAGCACTGAGCCCAGATGAATTTGCCATGGGAACATCCCAGTCCCCACTAAAATAAACTAAAATGGGTGGTGCACCTACCCCAAAATGGGATCCTATTGGTTTTGACCCACAGCCAATTCACTCGATCCTGCCTTGCGATCATCGAACCTGCCAATCTTCCAGCCGTTCCGATGCGCACTCCAGAAGATGTAGGCGTCTCCACAGGCAAGTCGCCCCGAGACGAGCGTCACTTTTTGGTAGCCTCGGTTAGTGCAAATACGCCCTTCCAAAGCTACAGCGATCAACACCTGAGCTTGTCTAAGCAATGATGTTGGGGGTAATGGAAGCTCTGTTGCTCCCTATGTGAAGTATCCCAGGCACCTTGGCTCCCCCAATTCCCATACGTTTTGCCTGACGCTGGGATGGAAAGAACATGCTCCAATCCTGAGTGGGAGGAAAAGGGGGGACTGAAAACAAGGTGGCATGATGCCAGGCGTACCGCATCCTCTGCTTTTCGCTTAAAGCAGCCAAAACCACTCTGACGCCTGAGAAACGCCATATGCCATTTCCATCTCCAAGCCGCACTTCCGCTCGAAGGCCTTTTCCGGCAGCTCGTAGAAGAAGCCGCTCAAGCCGCTGATTTCGCTGGTTCCTTTCAGGTACAACAGCGTGGTCTTGGAGAACTTCCTGCTGAGCAGCGCTTTGTGGATGCCTTTCGCCTGCTTCTTCACCTCTGGCTCCTTCCACGCGCGCCATGCGCGCCATGCGCGCCATCGCGCATGGCAAACGCGCGCGGTGAAGCTGTGGCCCGAACCCAGGGACCATCCAACTGCCGGGCTTTGAGCGCCCAGCCCCGTGCTTTACATGAAAAACATGTGTTCTCGATGGGACAGATGCAAGATTCAGGGCTGCTTCAAAAGAGATTTATGGCACCGTACCTGCTTTTGTCGCAGATGGTTTCAGAGTATGTCTATAGTGAATATCTACTGTACTTACTACGTTGCTAGAAGCTTCAGGAGGTGTCTTAATATTGTGCACTCCTATCGTGTCTCTGGCATGTGTCCTTAGCTGTATGGCGTTCCCATCTGCAGGGCCAACAGCGATCCTGATTCCCAGGAGTGAGTACTGCTGACCCATGCATGTAACTTCTCCCCCAACACGCAGGAGAATTGAACCATTGATTCCCTTTTTGTTTTCTTGGTTTTCCCTTTGCCTTCCAAAACCCCTCCAACCCCCCACAAAGGCGTCCTCATAGAGTCATAGACGCATTCCAAAATGAAAGCAGAATTTGGCTGCTGCTAGCACCCTTTCTTCTAGAGTGCTGGCTCTAACTCTACAAACTTGTCTCAAACGGGCTTCAGTGAAACAAGCACTCATGCAGCAAATGCACCGTAGTCAGCCGTCATGCAGAGTACAAGTGGAGACCCCATATTCAGTCACGCCTCCCAAGTGTGAGATTTGAGACTTAAAGTGTCTCTCTCACTCAAGGCCTCATGTCCCACACAAGATAGAACCTGTATTCTGCATATGCCGCCGGGCCAAGCCCATTCAAACATCCAGGGCGAAGTGGTGTCGGCCTGGTTGCAAGGCAAAATGCATCTTGGATAGGAGTTCTCTGATTCTGGCCCCATCCATAGGTTTCGTGAGAAGATCCGCTAGGATCTCCCTGGTGTCTTGCTTGCGGATCATGACTCGGTTCTGTTGGATGGCATCTTGTATCCATAGGAATGCAGTATGCACATGTTTGACTCGGCTAACCCCCTCCGGCTGGCTATGGCTATAGCGGATGAGGCATCAACATGCACTGCAAGCGAAATCTGCACTCCAAAATCTGCCATTATTGATTGGTCCATTGCACGCTGCACATATCAAGGCCTACAGTTCTGCCTCTGCGCTCGAGACTGCAATGATTGAC